TCCCGGCCCTGGCAGACAGCTTAATTACCGCGGCAGCGCCTGCCTCGGCCTGCGTTCCCGGTTCCCTAAAATAATAAGGTGGCGTCACTGCCTCCCGAGCGCGCGCTTCGCCTGGCCTCCGGGCTCTATTGTCGGAAGCAAACAAGAACCAGGGACTCGATGTTTTTCTTCTGGAGGGATTTTGGGTGTTTTCCTCCCCCCACCCCCCCAGGAGGAGGGACCCTGCCCCTCAGATGAGGATGTTAAACCCCCCCTGTGCTGGCTGCCCCTCCGAGCAGCTCCTGTTGGCCGAGCCCAGGAGAGCTCCTCTGGCCTCCACCGGGTCCGGTGGCTGTGGTCCAGTGGGGTCCGGTGCTGGGGCAGAACCTTCCAGCTCAGGTGCCCGGGCCCAATGCTGACCTTGCAGCTGCTTCTGGGAAGGAAAAGCTCAACGGTGGATCTCGCTGAAATAAAAACGAGTGAATGGACCGCGACCAGCCCTGGCTGGCGAGGGCTAGCTACTCAGTTTGTGTGTGTGTCTGTGTGTGTGTGTGTGTGTGTGTGTGTGTGTGTGTGTGTGTGAGAGAGAGAGAGAGAGAGAGAGAGAGCTCGTGGGATGCGAGCAGCCATGGAGACTTGGGCTGCTGGCGCTGACCCTTTTGCTTTTTCTGGGGCCGGGGTGCAACCCAGGGCCTCACGCACGCCAGGCCAGTGCTCTCTGCCCCTCAGCCGCCTCACTCCCCGGCCCTGCGCCACCCTAGGGATCCAGGTGGTCTCTGCAATGTGCAGTTTCTCTCCTGGTGCCCGCCAGGGCTGGCCACACGGACTGTCCACAGATCCCTGGTGGCCGTGGCGCCAGCCTGCAGCCTTGCTGAGCGCCTTGGGGGGGAGAAGCGTCTCTCGTTCTCTTCTGCCACGTCCCAAAGTTGGGCCTTCGAGCTCGAAATGGAATCTGCAACGGGGGATGGCCCACTTAAAGCTGACCCATTTAAAACCCCCGGGCTCCAGAAGCACATGGGGTCACTTGGATTTGAGGCCTGTGAGCCTGGGACCTGAAAAATGAAGCTGGTTAGGGACTGACAAGGGTGAAACCAAAGTTACAGATATTATTGTTGCTCGGGGGGGGGGGGCGGGGGGGAAGCAAAAATCAAGAGTGGGTGGTGGGGTGGGAGGGAGGAATTGTGGTTTTAGAATGTTCCTGACCAGGAACATTCTAGACCTCCCAGGCTTCGTGTGTGCGAGGCAGTTGCAGCGTGTCAGGTTTGTGTCCCCATGTTGCCCCTCGATTGTGGACACAGCATTTGAGATGACCAAGTCGGTCCAGGGATGTGTCAAAGGCTGCAGCGTGTGCGCTACTGACTGGCAGGATGCCAGGTTGGTCCCTAGGACCCTCCATCCACACGAGAAACATGTGATGCTGGATCCTCTGTTGGTTTCCAGGCCGGGAGTGCTCAGAGGATGAGATTCTGTTTCACCCACTCTATGTGGTGGTGGGCCTCATTGTCAACGGTGAGGGGCCCCAGAGGCCAAGGGAGCTAGCCAGGGAGACTGCCCAGGGCCTCAGTGGACTCACGGGTTTCTGCAGAAGAAACTCACGGTGCAGCCGGCTCCTTCTGGCCTTCATGTGACCTCAGTGGCTCCCCTGGGCTCTGCAGGTGCCTGGGCTGTCCCGGCTGGATCACAGTGATTTTTCTCCCCCTCCCTGTTGATCTTTCTCGGTCCCTCTAGTGTCGTGCGCTCAGGGAGGCGGCGATGGATGCAAGATGCACACATAGGTGCACACATGGGAATAACACTGCTGACGCGTGTTAGACTTAGAGTGGGGGGCAGGTGCTTGCCTCCCACACACGTGACCCCAATTCCGTTCTCGACACCATGTATGGTTCCCCAGGCCCCACCAGGCGGGATCCCTGCGCACAGAGCAGGGACTGAGCCCTGAGCACCACGGGGTGTGGTCCCCACCAGGAAGAGAAAAGACGATACTCTGTGAAAGGGGCATCTGTGCCCCCCACCCCCCACAACACCCGCATCGTCTCAGTGTCACAGCTGCTCACCGAGCGCGCTGCCCGGTCAGCCGACAGGACGTGTGCCTGTTAAGCAATTGCTCGGTGTCCACTCCCTGCTAGGCTGATTATGGAGAAGGACAGTCCCTGACCTCCAGGAGGATCGGATGCTTAGTATGTGATTAAGTGGTTCCTGGGTCAGCCGTGTCCTCCTTGCCCGGCGGATGCTGGGGTGGGGGTGGGGGCACGCCTTGAAATGGATTTGCCTGCGGACATGGACATGAGCGATGGGGAGGGAGGGAGGGGGTGAGGCTGGAGGGTGGAGGCTGGAGGTGAGCTCTGGCCTCGGAGAGCCCCAGCCGGCCCCGCCTGCTCCCCTGGGCTGCTAGCCGCCTTGCTGGCTGGGCCCGCAGTGCTCAGGACCGAGCGCTGCAGGGATCTGAGCTCACAGACACAGTCAGGCAGCCAGGTGCCCTTGCGAGTCATCACGTGTCCCGTGGACATCACCGCTGCGTCCTTCCTTGCTCAGGAACAGACTTTTCTGGAAACACTGAGGCTGAACATTTCCTTTCCCACGAGCCTTTGGAGTCTGCCCACGGCCACCTCTTGGGGGTGCCTGAGCCTTGGGGAAAGCAAGCTGTTGGGCTTCTGGGTGGGCTGCCCTGGGCGCTGCACGGTGCTCCTGACACTCGAAGACTCGCTCCAGCTGTGTGTGTGTGTGTGTGTGTGTGTGTGTGTGTGTGTGTGAGAGAGAGAGAGAGAGAAAGAGAGAGAGGAGAGAGATTGAGAGAGAGGGAGAGAGAGAGAGAGAGAGAGAGAGAGAGAGAGAGAGAGAGAGAGAGAGAGAGAGAGACCACATTTGGCTATTTTTAAAACGGCCGGAGGAATTGGGAGAGAGACTCAACCCAAAGTACAAATTTTCAGTTTAATTTTAACTTTGCGCTTAGCTCACACCCAGGCTTTGGCAGGAGCCGGGCCTCGGTTCCTGCTGCCGCCTTTCCCTTCCTTTCTTAAGCAGAGCAGACCCAGGATGATCAGGGGTGAGTGCTGCCCGTGGGAGGACTTGGGGTGCAGCAGAACAGGGGTCCGGCCGCGTATTCGGGAGGAAGTAGAGGTTTGGAAGCCTCCTGCCAGCCCCGGACTCCAGAACTCCAGAGACCACGGCTCACCGTGGCCCTCTGGGAGAGGGTTCCCCAAGCACCCCAGCGCCCCCTCATTCCCTGTTCCTGTCTGTGAGCGGGTCAAGCCCAAGGGCTCTGGTGTGTTATGCCCCAAGGATGCTCTGGGCTGTGCTGGCGTAGGGGCTGGGGGGTGGTGGTGGTGCTGGGGACCCGCCCCTGGGTGCCAGTGTGCAGAGCGTACACTCTGACCCCACAAGTCACTCCCGGCCAGGGCTTCCCCCTGACTCCCCTGTTTGATTGCTGCAGACTCCCTGGAGCAGTGTCCCCTGCAATCCCAGAGGTAACGCATCATCCCACAAAGGAGCCTGGCCCCCCACAGCTCAAGGTTTGGGCTTTGGGGTTCCTCTCCGCTTCTCCCGGCCCAGCCTTGGCCTCTCCTGCTGCTCTGACCAACGTGCTGTCGGTGGTTGCGGCCTCCAGGCCAGGCTGGCTGAGTTGGGTTTGTGCTTTGGTTACGAGGAAGTGTCACCAGGGTGGGGACCATGGGTGGGACCCATTCCCGCCCCTGCAGGAGCAGCAGCAGCAGCCAGAGTTGCTGTGGACAGCTGGGTGACAGGGGTGCCCAGGGCCCGTGCTCCGGGAGTGTTTGGGAGTGTTTGGGGTTGTGCTGTTTTTACACACACACACACACACACACACACACACACACACACACACACACAGTGGTGAGAGTGCTGAGGGCTCAGCAGAGACCTGGTGATCTGAATCAAGACCCCACCAGCCCTGGTTCAATCCCTGACTCCCCATCTGGGCCCGGAGCCCACTAGGAGTAACCTCTGAGTGCAGAGCCAGGGGTCAGCCGTAAGCTCTGCTGGGTGTGGCCAGCCAAACCAAAACAGACTTTGAGGGCCCCTAGGATTGTACAGGATTGTACAGGAGATAAGGGCTTGCATATGAGTGACCCTGGTTGAGTCCTTAGTACCACAGACAGTCCCCGGAGCACTGCCTGAAGTGGACCCTACACATTGCTATGTGACGCGCCCCTCCCCTCCAAGCAAACCCAGACTTCTGGACTTGGCCGGTGTCAGGCCTGATGTGGATTCCTAGTCTTTCCACATCAGCTTGGACGTGGCTGAGCCAAGCGTGGAGCTGGGCTCTCCACTGTAGGGCTTATCGTGTCTCTGTCCACGGTGTCAGTGAATGGAACGGGGCGGCCCGAGGGTGAGCAGCCCTCACACGAAGCTCTTGGGAAAGGCAAGTCTGAGGACTCTGACCAGGTGGGGGCTGTGGTGTGCTGAAGGCCAGGCCAGTGGGCAGGGCAGAGTCCCCGCTCCAGAGAGGACAGGGAGGGACGCTGAGGATGGGAGGTGGGTGTGGCCTTGGGCGTGGGCATCTGACAGTCAGTGGGGCTGGGCACCTCTGACTCTTTGGTTTTGTTTTGTTTTGTTTTGTTTTGTTCTGGGATCACACACAGCCATGCTCAGAGCTTACTTCCTACCTCTGCGTTCAGGGATCATTCCTGGTGGGCTTGGGGATTGAATATGGGTTAGACGCCTGCAAGGCCAACGCCTTGCCCACCGCAGTAGTGCTCTGATCCTTGGGATTCAGTTTGTGATGGAGTGTTGGAAGTCATGGCAGATGGGTTGGAATGGGACCATCAGCCTTGCCCACGGCAGCCGGGGCCACTGACTAACCCTAACCCTTGCCTGTCACACCTCCACCCCTCACTGTACAGCTTATGCACACCGACCTTCCCCCCCCCCCCCCCCGCCCCCTGGGATGGGGATGGGGATGGGGATTCCAGAAGCAGGAGAGTTTCCTAAGTGGGGGACCCCTCCCACCATCCCCGCAGACCCCCCTCCCTCACAGCGGCTCCTGCCCTTCCTTCCCTCTGCAGGTGAAGGAGCTCGTCCTGGACAACTGTCGGTCGAACGACGGCAAAATCGAGGGTCTCACAGATGAATTCGAGGAGCTGGAGTTCTTAAGTACGATCAACGTCGGCCTCAGCTCAGTTGCAAACTTACCAAAGTTAAACAAACTTAAGAAGGTGAGAGAGTGAGGGGCATGGGGCCGCGGGGGCGGGCGTGGGGGGAGTTGGTGTTGCTGCAGGGGCATGACCAGGCTGCCAACACACCGTCAGCCCCAACAATGTCTGCTTCCACCCTGCCCTGTCAGGGGATGCCCGGGGCCTTCGTTTTTCAGAGCTGATTCTACCTTTTTCTCTCCCTGCCTCATTTAGCTTGAACTAAGCGATAACAGAGTCTCAGGGGGCCTGGAAGTATTGGCAGAAAAGTGTCCGAACCTCACGCATCTAAATTTAAGTGGCAACAAAATTAAAGACCTCAGCACAATAGAACCGCTGGTGAGTCACGGGGATCCCCTTGTCCCCATCCCAGGAGAGGCTGGGAAGGTCTGATATCAGGGGATTCTCCTTTGACAGGTTTTATTTTGTTGTTGGTTTTTTTCACTCCCGTTTATCTGACCTTATTAGACTTTTTCTACGCTAGGAACTCAAGCAGAACCACTTTGCTCCAGCCGTAAAGAAACTGGGGGTGGGGGGGGGGGCGGGAAGGAGGGTCTTGAGTGTAGCAACTTTCCTGGGTGACAGTGGGTAGGTGGGCGGGGATGGAGCCAGGCTCAGGCTGGTCCAGCCCTTCCCGCAGGCTTCGGCTTTGGCCAGGGAGGAGCCACCCTGGTGGCACCTCTTGGTGGCAGGAGTCTGGGGACGATCATCCCTGGGTGGGTGGGAGAGAGCTGCCTGGTTTGGGGACCAGTAGCTGGTGTCCAGTACTTGCTGTGATCAGGCTCCCGACACCTGAGGGTGTGTCTGGTTCTTTTGTATAGCCTCATAGAGGCCAGTGTACCCCAGGAGTCGTGGTCAGTGACATTGAAGGCTGTGAGTGGAGGTGTGGCTCCTTGGGAAAGAATCACGCAGACAGGAAACTCAGAGAATTCGGGGTAGTTTAGGCACTTGGTTCACCTGTGGTAGCCATGGGATCATGTCTCTTGAGCACTACCAGGTGTCTCACACACACACACACACACACACACACACACGAGGGCTGGATAAGATAGTGCACTGGTAGGGTGCTTGCCACCTGGGTTCAATCTCTGGTACCCCATATGGTCCTCCATTAAGCCCCGCCAGGAGTGATTCCTGAGCACAGAGCCAGGAGTAAGTCTGAGCATTGCTGGATGTCATCCAAAAATGAACAGAAAAAAACCTCATATAAACTACACACTTAGAATGTGGGGAGACCCTGTGAATATTTTGCCAGGATTCGTCACATCTCCCTTTCCAGGACATACAGGATGAACTTTGAGTTCATGGGGATCTTTCATTTTTCTTGTTTTCCTTTTGCTGCACTGGGGGTAAAATCAGGCCTCACGCTTGGCAAGGCAAATGCTTTACCACTAAATTTCATTCCTGACCCTGGATCCTAGGGTTTTGGTTTTGTTTTAGTTTGGTTTTTTAGGGGGAGGGGCACACCCGGAGATGCTCAGGGGTTACTCCTGGCTCTGGAGGTGCTCAGGGGACCATGTGGGTTGCGGGGATCAAACCTGGGTTGGCTGCGTGCAAAGCAAACCCTCTCCCCACTGTACTATCTCTCCAGCCTGTGGATTCTTGTCAGAGAGTGTGTTTGTCCCTTTGGAGAGGCTTGAGGTCAGGAGGGGTGTTGGTAGGTGGTCTGGGTGGCAGAAATGAAGCTGGCATCCACCTGTCTCTCACACACACACACACACACACACACACACACACACACACACACACTCCTTCCCTGTCCCTCAGTGCACGGGGCTGTTATCTGGATAGAACTGCTCTCTTCAGTTCCCTGCTTGTCTGTCCTGCCCTGGAGAAGACAGTTACCTCTACTGGCCAGAGTTCTGGTCCTCATTTTGTCAGGAAAGAAAAGCTCCTGGGAGTTTGTGTGTTGGGGGAGGTGAGATCATACCCACAGCCCCTCCTGACCCATCCAGACCACACAGTTGCTTTGCTTCCCTTTACCTGATTATCAGTCAGAACGATAGTTAAACAACCAGGGCACGGTCTGGATATCCAGAATGACCAGGGGTTCATACGAGATCTTTCTTTTATTGTTTATTTGGGGTTTGTTTGGGTTTTTGTTTGTTTGTTCTGGAGCCACACTCAGTGATGCTCAGGGCTTACTCTTGGCTCTGCACTCAGGAATCATTCCTGGCGGTGTTCAGGGGACCATATGGGATGCTGGGAATAGAACCCGGGTTGGCCGCGTGCAAGGCAATCACTGTCCTCACTGTACTATTGCTCTGGCCCCAGTGAGATCTTTCTAAGATTTCCCATTGATTCATTCATTTCATTCATTTTGTGTTTTGGGGCCACACCTGGTGGTGCCCAGGGGCCCAGATCCACATATGCCAGGGATTACCCAGGGTTGGCTGCATCGCAAGGCTATTGCCTTAAGCTAACCTGGACTGTCCCACCCCAGCTCTTATGCAAAACTGAGTTCCCAGCATGGACTGGGACTTGAAGACACTTGGGGTCAAGGTGGGGTCGAGGGGCTCTTGTTTGAGTTTGGTTTGGGGGTTGCTCCTGGGGATCTGGGGTGAGGCTCCTGTCTGCAAGGTGAGCACCACAGTGGCCCTGTTCCTTATTTGTTGTGTGACGCTTTTTCTTGCTGGGCCTCAGTTTCCCCAGCCACCGAAACAGGCATCATTGCAGGCTAGAACTTGTAGCCCTGACACAGTGAATCCTGGTCCAGCCTGAGGCCCTCAGTTTTTCTCTTGTCCCTTCAAACATGCGGTCGGCTGACCAAATAATCCCACTTCTGCCCTCCCCTTTTCCTCATCTATAGAACAGACGACGCACTTTCCCCTTCTTTGGGTTGTGGGGTGACTGTGCGGGTACGTGAGTGAGTAAGATGCTAAGCATTGCCGTCAGCCGGCTGTCGCCACCGTCATGCTCGGGTACCGGGTCAGCCTCGTGTCCTTGTTCTGCTGCTATCTTGGTCGTGATAACAGACTTGGCTGTGCACCACGAGAGCCCCAGGTTGGGCTGGGGATGTGTTTCAGCGGCAAAGCACAGGCCTGGCATGTCCGAGACCCAGCTCTGATTCTTGACCCGAGACAGGGATTTTCAAACCCTCATTAAGGCAAAAGCTGTAATTGCAGAATCAGGTCGGCATGGCTCAAGGTTGTGAGATCAAGGCTCTCCCCCGGTTTGGGGGAATGGAGGCCCTCCCCTCTGCTGTCAAACCCGTCTCTCCGTGTTCACCCACAGCCCCCTCGCCTGCTCTCTCCCCCATTTCCGGGCACCCCACGTTGCCCTGGCCACGTACTTAATGGACTTGTATCTTTGTGTTGGCAGAAAAAGTTAGAAAACCTCAAGAGCTTAGACCTGTTCAATTGTGAGGTGACCAACCTGAACGATTACCGAGAAAACGTGTTCAAGCTCCTCCCGCAGCTCACGTACCTGGACGGCTACGACCGCGACGACAAGGAGGCGTCCGACTCGGACGCTGAGGGCTACGTGGAGGAGGGCTTGGAGGACGATGAGGAGGACGAGGATGGTGCGTGGCTCTGGCGGGGCGGGGCAGGGCTGAGAGGGGCACCCGCTTCGTCTTGGTCTCCCTCAAGCACCCCAGAGAACAAACTCTAAGCGCTGGCTTTCCTACCTTCCTCCCTCCAGACACCCCTTGGGCCTCACTGCCACTTTGTTTTTGTTTTAGTTTTTGCTTTCTGGGTCACACCCAGCAGTGCACAGGGGTTACTCCTGGTTCTGCACTCAGAAATCACTCCTGGCGGCGCTCAGGGGACCATACAGGATGCTGGGAATCGAACCCGGGTCAGCCGCGTACAAGGCAAATTGCCCTAACTGCTGTGCTGTTACTCTAGCCCCCTCACTGCCACTTGGGCCTTGCATCCCAAGTCCTGAGAGGCAGGGGAGGTGCTGCCACTGGCACTGTCCTCTGAGATGGGGGACCCTTTGGTGGAGGTAGTAGGGGTGCCTGAAGCTGGCAGTGGAAGTAGGTCATGAGCCAGCGAGCTTGTGGGGCCCCCTGGTGGCTGCCACCCCAGAGCCAAGGCTGGGACTGGTAAGGTGGAGCCCTGGAAGCCCCAGGGAGGGGACCCCAGTACCGTGTTTGGGGTGCGGGAAGGAGGACCCAGAAAGCAGGGAGCCACGCGTGTCCTGTCTCGCCCACGTGCTGCCGGGAGCTGGGACTGGAGGCTGCAGCACGTCGCTGCTAATCGGGCGTAGGGTTTTCCTGAGGGCGAGTATTGCGAAGCGAGGGTGACACCTGCCTTCACCCCACTCCCCACGGCTATGCTGGTGATGGGAAGGGCCCAGCCCGAGGTCCTGAGACCCGGTTCTCTGCCTCGCCATGGCTGATGCTACCTGGGACCTCGAACAAGCCCCCTGGCCCCCGTGCCTCTGCTCTCCCTCCTTCTGGGGCGAGGGCTGGCTCCATGTGCTTTTCCCACTGAGTGGGCTTGTGGTTGGTTCTCCCCGCTCAGCGCCTTCATCCTTCAAGCTGCCAGCTTCTGCCCCCGAGCGTTCAGCTTCGGCCGTCTGGAAGAGGTTTTGTCTTCCAGTGACCTTCTGGGATTTTGGTGGCTCTGGGCCTGGGTGGGTGGGTGGGTGGGGAGGAAGCTCAGAGGCCCTGCGCGGAGGGTGCAGCCACCCTCGTCTATCTTGCCCGGCCCTGGGAGGGGGCTGCCCACTCACCACTGGTCCCGCTCTTGTCCCCGTTCCCCCTGCAGAAGAAGAATACGATGAAGATGCCCAGCTAGTGGAAGATGAGGAGGATGAGGACGAGGAGGAAGAAGGTGAAGAGGAGGATGTGAGTGGCGAGGAGGAGGTAAGAGGCCGCATTGGGGGAGGAGCTCACTCCCTCCACTCCTGTGCTCTCTGGAGTGCTCCCTCCACTCTCCGTGCTCCCTGAGTGCTCCTCATTTGCTGCCTGTGTCGAGCCAACTCAATGCCCCAGCAGGGCCTGTTGTCTCACAACCTGGGGCCCAGGTCTGGGATGTTAGAAATTTTTAGGCCCTTTTTGTTGGGCTGCTTTGGGGGTCTTAAAGCCAGCCCGGGGATTGGAAGAAGGGGTTCTTAAGGCCAGCAAGGAAGGGGGTACCCCTACCCTTTCTGCAAGCCTCTGAACCTCATTTCTTCGTTGGTCTTTGGGCAAGCCCCCTCCTGTACTGTGTCTTCACCCTTCCTCTTTTTTTTTTTTTTTTGTTTTTGGCTTTCTGGGTCACACCCAGCAATGCACAGGGGTTACTCCTGGCTCTGCACTCAGGAATCACCCCTGGCGGTGCTCGGGGGACCATATTGGGCGCTGGGAATCGAGCCTGGGTTGGCCGCTGTGCTGTTGCTCCAGCCCCCCTCCCTCATTTCCTTCGTGTTTTTTCTCTCTGGGGTGGAGAATGCTGCCCTCTGAGGCGTGCTCTCTTCTGAGCTGAAAACAGGTCCTGAACCTTGTCTCTGGGTTCTCAGAAGTGTGTTCAAGCACATTTCTTGTCGCCGTTTGCTGAGCGTGCATTCTGACGTGGTGGTGTCTGTCGGCCCAAGGGCAGGGCGTGTGCTCCGCCTGTGGGAGTCTAAGGTCTGTTCTATTTGTAAGCAGGATGCTTCCAGAGGGTCTGACCTCTATCCCCTCCCATACCCCCTCCCTGCCGCCCCACCAGGCTTGCTCTGAGCTCAGGCCTCAAGTGCATTCATTTTCTATGACCTCGGATTCTGGACAACTCCTGTTAGCTGCGAGTCAAACCTTTAACGTGCTCCAGAATGTCGAAAGAGGCAGACAGTGGCCGGGCCGTGGAGTCCCGGCCTTGTATGTGAGGCCCCGTGTTTGACTCCCAGCGCTGCACAAACCCAAACCAACTGAACAAAAGCAAACTCAGATGTTCCTTTGGGCCAAGAGGGCTGGAGGGGGCCCCGGTCTGATCCCGCCAGCAGGTGGTCCCCTGAGCTCCGTCCTGGGACTTGCCCGGCTCTGTCAGGGGTATCCCAGAAGGGGAGGCAGTGGTGGGACCCCATGTGTGTATGCCACCCCCCATTTACTGTTCCTTGGTGAGGGCTGCACCCCTGTCGTGTCCGCCCTTCAGACGACTGCTCCCATGGACCCATCAAGACCGTGCAGATGCTGGCAGTGGTGTGAACCTCATGTCCAGCTGTCCTGCTGCCCTTGTCTCCCTGGGTCAAGGCTGCTAGGATGCCACCCTGATAGATTGTAGGCAGTTAGGGGCTGGAGCAATAGGACAGTGGGGAGGGAGCCTGCCTTGCATGTGGCCAACCTGGGTTCAATCCCCGCCATCCCATATGGTCTCCTGAGCCTGCCAGGTGTGATTCCTGGGCAGAGCCATGAAGGTAGCCCTGAATACCACTGGGTGTGACACCCCTGACCCCACCCCCCAAAACAAAACACACAAAATCATCCCCAAAAGCAAAATAGCTACTTTAAAAGTAAGGAGTCAGCAAGAGGCTGTTCCTCAGAACAGGGCAATAAGTTACATTGGCTAACGGATTTCAGTCTTGTTTGTTTGGGTCATCTCACTGACCACTGGCAGATTTCTGGATCAGCTTCGCGCGCGCACACACACACACACACACACACACACACACACACACACACACATAGTCTTAGCACACAGACTATCTAGGGACTACTTGGTGACCTTCACAAGGGTTTTTCCCTTGTCAAGAAAGAAGTCTGTCATCAAGTTCTTCTAAACAAATGATACGATGCTCGCTGAGCTTGACCTTCAGGGGCTGCCCAGCACGGGCCCTGAGTGGAACAGTGTCAGGCCCAGCTGGTCCTTAACCTGGGGGGGATCATGGCCTCAGCCCCTCTCCTGCCCCCACCAGCTGGTCCAAGTGTGTGGGATGGTGAAGGGGCTGGGTTGGGCGAGGTTGGACTGGTCCCCCCAGAACCTGGATGTATGGGAACTGGGGTTGGGTCTTCCCTTGAAGCCAGAGTGGCCCCTGCTGGACACGCAGGGGACAAAATCTTCTCAGAACATTTGCCCTGGGAAGTCTCCCGAGTTCCTAGGATTGTCGCTACGCCTAGGAAAAAGGGCTGCAGACTCTCCATCGATGGGGCTGGAGTGATAGCACAGCGGGGAGGGCGTTTGCCTTGCATGCGGCCAACCCGGGTTCGATTCCCAGCATCCCACATGATCCCCTGAGCACCGCCAGGTGTGACCCAAAAAGTAGGCTCTTCATTGATTCCTCTAATAGAGTCTGACCAAGGCTCCTGCCTTGCGTCCATCAGCCAGGGCAAGTGCTGTGGCCGCTAGGTGACCTTCTGCGTGTCCTTAATGCCCATCTGCCTCTTCTGCCCTAGGAAGAGGAGGAAGGCTATAACGACGGGGAAGTAGATGACGAGGAAGAGGAAGAAGAAGGACCCCGTGGTATGAAATCTTTATTACTCTCCTTCCATCCAGTAGCGGTTAGACGGTGGCCTCTGGCCGCGGGGCCGTGAACGCATGATGCCTCTGGGTGCTGGGAGGGCAGCAGGGGCTGCCAGAGGCACTGGGCCTCACTGTCTTCACCTTCCTCTTGCAGAAGGAGAAAAGACGCAGAAGCGGAAACGAGAACCCGAAGACGAGGGTGAAGAAGACGACTAAGTGGAATAACCTATTTTGAAAACAAACAAACAAAAATTCCTATTGTGATTTGACTGTTTTTACCCGTTCACCCCTCCCCCCCAAATCCCGCCCCCCGAAACTTATTTTTTTCTGATTGTAATGTTGCTGTGGGAACCAGAGGGGAAAAGTGTACTGGGGGTTGTGGGGGGAGGGGGGAGGGGGTGGAATAAAATACTATTTTTACTGCCACTCTTCATTGTTTTTCCCCCCCCACCTTCCTCTACTTTTTTCTTTGTGTCTGGTTTGGTCCCGGTAAACTGACAAGAGCTGACGAACGCATCTGGCGTGCGCCACGTGCTCCCCCTCTCAGGGGCCGCTCGCGGGGTCCCCAACATTTCTTGGTGTTGTCCGAGTCTCTGGAGAGCGTGGGGAGGCCCTGGCTGGCCCCAGTTTGGTTTCCTACAAGCCCAGGAGGGGCTGAGCTCCAGCCATGACCTACCTCTTGTCCTGGGCCCCTGATCTCTGCAACTCTCGTGGCCTCCGGCGCCCCTGTTTGTAAATAGCAACCTCAAGGCACTGGTGTGTGTGTTTGAAAGGCGGGGGGGTCCCCATCTCTCGCCCCTTTCCCTTCACGGATGGCGGTGGCTCCTCTCTCCTGAGAGATTCGTCACCCTCTGGAGCTGTGAGCCAGGGAGCGGGCCTGGGCGGGCCTGGCTCTGGAGGCGAGTGCATTTTGCAGTTCGTTTCCCAGGGAAGAAGTAAACCTCGGACACAGCCTCTCTGAAAGATCTTGAAACAGCCATCCTCCTTGTTCTGTGAAAGATTAGCGCTCTTGGGGCTTCACGGTGCCCAGAAAGGCCCTCCACCGTGCTCCCGTGCTCGGCTCCCGTTGACAAGATTACGCGTGGGCAGGCGGCGTTCCCCGAGGTTGGCGGGGGTTCTTTTTTCTTTTTTTTCATACACCCGAGCACAGGGGGGCGGGGAGGGGGAAAGAAACGCAAAATTGTATTTTCTTACTGAGTGGAAATTCCGAAATGACTGCAAACTCCTAGCGAACGTGCTGGTCGGTTTCCGTCTGCCTGGATGGCTCTGGGATCCCGCCGTCCCGACACGTCTGTGTAAAGCAGCGTCTGCACCAGGTTTTCTCCGCCCCCCTCAGAAGAGCCAAACTTTGAGTTTTATGTCTGTTTGTCATTGATAAATTTCAATAAATCTTTTTATACAAGTTTTTTGGGGGATGGCTTCTTTCCTGGGGGACTGGAGAGGCTTCCCATCTCTGAGTTAATAAAAGGAGGTGTTTGTGGGCAAGAGGAACAGTACACGGGCAGGTCAGGCCTTGCAGGCATCCGACTCGGGTTCGATCCCCACACCACGTAGGGTCCTCTGAGCCCCACCAGGAGTGATCCAGGAGCACGTCTTGAGCACTGCCAGTTGTGCCCACCCTCTCGAAAGAAGAGGTGTCTCTCTTCTTACAGGCTTATGTTCACCAGCTACCCGTGAAGTGCCACCGTCATCACGTTTGGGCCCTGTGGGTCTCAAAGTCAGACTCTGCTCTCTTCATTAAGCTTCATGAGGGGGAACCCTAAGATAAAGATGGAATTGGGGCTCAGTGGTAGAGTACATGCCTCAGGGGGAGGGAGGTGAGGTTCCATCATGGATATCACACACAAACCCAACTTACAAAGAGAGTAAAAAATTCAGATACTTGCGCACGCGCGCGCACACACACACACACACACACAACACACACACACACACACACACACACACACACAAAAGAAAACCAAACCAAGAACTTCATTTTTAGTATTTTTAATTTGTTTGTTCAGTCTGTGAGAAGAAGAGGTGCTTACCGACCTCAGGAGTGTGTGAAACACCTCACGGTTGGGGCAGGTGATGAGGTGGCCCCTTTCCTTTTTACTCAAGTTTCCGCTAACTCAGTTATCACTCGGAAATGCTTTGCTAACCCAGTGGAGAGTTGTCTGGGGAATCACCTTCTTACCACTGGCTATTGTCAGTGGCCGTTCTGTTGAGCCCGCTGTGGAATTTTTAGTTCAGATGCTTAAAAGAGCTGGGTGAGTGGATGAGGAAACCCTGGGCTTGATCCCCAGAAATGCCTGGGCCCTAAACAGTAGCCCTCAGCACCTCTGGATGTAGCCTCAAGTATAGCAGAGTCATTTGGTTGAGAGCATTTATAAGCTCCCAGCTTCTCCCAGGGTTGAATCAACACCACCTCCCCCCCACCCCTTCAGAAGACCCAAACTTTTGAGTTTTATGTCTGTTTATCATTGATAAATTTCAATAAATCTTTTTTATAAAAGTGTTTTGGGGATGGCTTCTTTCCTGGAGGATGAGAGGTTTTCTTCTCTAATAAAAGCTGTTCCTGTCAAGAGAAACAGTACAAGCCAGGGATGCAACTGACCCGAGTTCGTGGTGGCGTATCCACCTGCATACAGACATGCTCAGCCTCAGGGCCTGGACTCACACACAGGGATGTGTTTTGGGAAGGGGACCTGGGCCTGACCCCACTTTTGCTTCAAGGATGACAGACATTCTCAGGTTCCAGGTGTAGAAGGAGGAGGTGTTGGCCTCCCTGAGGCCCCGTGACACGTGAGTCAGGAGTTCCCGACAGAACCAGCCTTAAATTTCTCCCCTGGACTCCTTTTGTGGGCATGAAGCATCAATGACTCTGAAATCGGTGATGAGCGGCTGAATAGCTGAACCCCTCCCCAAGCCTTCTCATCCACACACAGGGGAGGATTCTGCCATTTTGTAGACGGGGAAAACTGAGGTCATAGAGCGAAGTGATCCAGCCGTGTGGAACCCAGGTTAGTTTCTATATTATGCAGCGTAACCACACGTGCAAGGAAGAGACCGTTGAAAGGGGGAGGAAATGAGAGCTGACCTCATTAGCTCTGCCCTTGTGTTTCTGAGCTGTGGCACAGCCACGTGGCCACCTTAGCCAGGTGCCAGTCCCTTGTTAGGTGATCCACGGTTTGCTTAAGATAATGGAACTTAGTGGGAATAAACCAGCTGTTGGTGCCAGAACCACAGAACCAGCCCTCCGGCCCCTCACACGTGTGCACATCCACCCCTGAGCCAGGGGCAGCCCCCCAGCTTCCAGGCTCCAGCTTGGCTGAGTCTCAACAACCAGTGTGCCCCAGACAGGGAAACTTCCTTCAACTTCTATTCCAACAGCAACGGTCCCTGTTGGCAAAAGGGGAAGTTGAAATCCCAAAGAGCCATTGTGTACCAGGAGTCACCCTGCGAGAGAGGGGCCACATAGGCTGGGGTTTGAGCCCAGGATCCCCGGGGCTGCCACTTGGGTCATGGGAGCCCAGTGCAGGGAGAAGCACAGAGCCCGTGCAGTCTGTCCTCTGGAGAGGTGACGCCGGTCTGGAGAGGTAGCGGGCATTCTGTGTTCCATGCCCAGCACATCTCTCGCTCTAAAACACAGAGCTGGGCCACAGCATAGTGGGAAGGGCACTTGCCTTGCACACGGCTGACCCGATTCAATCCCCCACACCCTGTATCCTGCCAGGAGTGATTCCTGAGTGCAGAGCCAAGAGTCAGCCCTGAGCATTGCTATGCGTGGCCCCAAACCAAAGTTAAATCAAATAAAATGCTGAGGCTTTGCACTGCCTGCTGGTGCCCGAGGCTGATCACTGATGGGTGCTGTGTGTGATTTTCCCAGTTCAGACCCCAGAGAGAATGAGGAGGGCGATTCTAGAGGTGAGTGCTGCTGTTCCCCCTAACCCGCCCTCAGATTTCACAGATGGGGAAACTGAGGCTCAGCCAGGGTGAGTCCACTAAGCCTTTTAGCAATGAGCGGTGAAGCCCATGCCTTGCTGCGAGCCTTGCTCTCTTCCCAGGTTAGAAGAGCAGATGAGGGGCGGGGTGGGGCGGGCTCAGCAGCTCAGTTCAGCTCCTTTGCTGACTGGCAAAGGCTGCTTTGGCCCAGGCTCAGAAACACATTGTTCCAGCTTGGAAATATTCCCACAACGGATCTCTGACACAGCATCGAGCCATGGCAGCCATGAGTCCCCTGTCCATCCCAGGATGGGTCCCGGGTTGAGCAGGGCGTGAGTCTGGCCCCATCTCCATGACTTTCATGCCCTTCCTTATAGAAAGGAGTGAACACTCCTCGTGTGGCCCTCAGCAGTGAGATGATGGGAAAGAGCACTGCAAAGTGGGAAGAAACGTGTGTGTGTGTGAGAGAGAGAGAAAGAGAGAGAGAGAGAGAAAGAGAGAGAGAGAGAGAGAGAGAGAGAGATGGGGGAGAATGGGAGGGTGGGGCCAAGTTTATGAAAAATAAGTCTAGGGCTTGATGATAGCACAGTGGGCAGGGTGCTTGGGCAGGGTTCAGTCCCCAGCAACACATATGGTTCCCTGAGCAAAGAGCCGGGACTAAGTGCTGAGCACGGCAGGCAGAGCCACTTCCTTTCAAGGGCTTCCATACTGCCAAAGATGTGGTTCAGCGTTATAGTATGTGCCAGGGACTGGAGCGGCGGTACAGTGCCTTGTGTCAGTCAATCCTGATTCGATTCCTGGCACCATATATGATCCCAAGTCCCTCCAGGAGTTTTCCCTGAGCACAGCGTCAGGAAAAAGCCCTGAGCACTGCCTGGTGTGGCCCACTCCTACGAAAGAAAGAAAGAAAGAAAGAAAGAAAGAAAGAAAGAAAGAAAGAAAAGCATTTGCCATACATGTGTGAGAAGGGCTCAATCTCTGGCAGAAAATAACACCGACAAACCCCCTGCCCCCCAAACAAAAACCTGGGAACATGAGCACCTAGGTCAGAGGGGACTCCCGTGGTTTTAGAAGAGTGCTGGAGGTAGGACTCTAACCCAGGACCTGCATCAATCAGAACTCTTCCCCCACAGGTACAGTAGCAGTGGGGGTTGTGGCCTCTGGGGTGGTGGCCACTCATGTAGCCGCAGTTATTTTCACTTTTCACTGTGCTTTGGACTTATATCTCAACCTCCATTACCTTACCTCCATTAGTTCTTATGAGAACAGCCTGGCTATCCCAAATACAATAGGCCAATAGTCCACTAACCTATTCTAATCAAAATATTTCCCAAAACTCACCATAATAACAGTGAACACAAGAATCTGAACAAGCCTAATGTAAAAAAAAAAAAAACACATTCCCTGAAGCTGCACTAGAGGAGCACCAAAGAGGAAGTTAGTATTCTTGAAGGGGTAAAGGAGACCACCATTGATGGAGCTTATTCAGAATCCTTCCT